AATCTCTCTGCTCTTATTGGACGAGCACGTATCACCAGAATGATTGACAGTTGGGAGGACCAATAGTCTCGATGATCCACCCAGAAGTAGACTATCCTCCTATTTATATATCGTATGTGGTTTTTTCATATAAGAAAGCCCTCCATGAGTCACTGTTTGATTCACTTTTGGGACAGACAATAAAATGTTAGTGAAAACCAGTGATAGAGATGGAGTTATTCCACAGTAAATATTCTGTGGTTTTAAAGTTACAAAGCCCAGCAGCAAAACAAACCTGGGAACAACAGCAATGATACGTTTCTTAAATGTAAATGTTAATTATATAAGGTGTTTATATAGAGGTATAAATACGTGATGAATATTTCAACATTACAGTATAATACCGTGTGAGCAGCAAAATCACTTTTTACCCACTTTGAGTTCACATCCGCTGTGCCTCATCCCCCCCCTCCCTCCGCTCGGAGATAATACGTTTGCGTTCAAACACTAAATGCTGAAGTTACACACACATTACTGTATGTACAGCACAGAGCCAGAGAATTATCCCGATCCAGCAGCGTTTATTCTCTGTGTTGGCCCATGTGGCTGTTTGTAAAAGGCTTCTGTCCGCTGTGAAGCTCAGGCTGCTTTGTCCAAAAGATGGGCGTGGCCTAGGGCGTGGCCTAGGGCGTGGCCTAGAGCACGGCAGAGCGACATCACAGCAAAATATAACACAAATACTACATCAGACAGGGGCAAAATATAACACAAATACTACATCAGACAGGGGCAAAATATAACACAAATACTACATCAGACAGGGGCAAAATATAACACAAATACTACATCAGACAGGGGCAAAATATAACACAAATACTGCATCAGACAGGGGCAAAATATAACACAAATACTGCATGAGACAGGGGCAAAATATAACACAAATACTGCATGAGACAGGGAATCGGATCAGCTCCAAAGTCTAACTACATTGTGCCATGGTGCAGGTTTCCCCATAACTTTTGGTTTGCAAACTAACGATTGACCAAACCAACAAACTCTGAACACAAAACTAATGTGGTTAGTAATAACTAAGAGTTACATTTGCCTGTGGAACACTGCTGCTCAGAGCGCTGTTTCGTGGAGAGAATGGAATGATGGACGTTAGGCAAAGGCAACAAGCATGGGCAGGTGGTCAAGCAGAGTACGCAGCACTTTGGGCTCTTTAAGTTGTAAATGTGCAACTGCTGTCAGACTGTACAACAAACCTGTATGAGGTAAAAACATGCACTATTGCTAAGTAGTTAGTTATAAATGTTTATAATGAATGTACTTATGTGTAATATGGATGTGTTTTCTGCTGCTGGACACCTGAATTTCTCCTACTGCGGATCAATGAAGGATATATATACAATATATACTGTATATATATATAAATATATATATATTATAGTTTGGTAAAGGGCAGAGCAAATATGTTTATAAGTTGTGCTTGATTAAAAATAAAAGATTGTATAAAGCCAAGCCAGGACAGAGTAAACCATAATGCGTACTATGTAGAAGACCAACTTAAACCAGTATTTTACAAAAGCCATAATTAACAAGAGAAAACTGTTATCTCACCCTCTAATGCAGAAACGTACTATCAGGTTTGTGGCAGACTGTCAACCCAAACAAACGGCAACAAAATGTAATTTGCCTTTGGAAGACAAACGGCCCAAACTGGTGTTAGCAAGAACAGTCTGCGAGAGCTTTTCCTTCAACAAAATGTTATGGAAATCTGACAAAGACTCCACACGTCTCCATGTTGTGCTCAACGATACAAAGTACTCTGAAACATCTGCACGATCACTACTCCAGCCGCTTCAGCTTCTACGTGTCCCGTGGACGTTCAGAGTAAAGCGGCTCTTCAAACCCAACGACGGCCTCTCTTCCTGCGCAGCAATGACAGAGGTGTAACCTTTCACTCCTTCTTTTCAAACCCTTCTTCTCAATTATCTCCTACTCTCCTCCCCTTGTTCAAAGATAGTAGAAAGTGCTGCTGACTCTCCCGGGTGGTGATGTCACGGTGCAACAGCCGTTAATGTTTGCGAGTCAGAGTAAGGATAGAAAAGTGTGGTGCCTTAAGTGACCGGGGCGGAGGAGGTGAATGTTTGTGTTTCCAAATTGTCTGAAAACTATCATCTCGGTTTAAAAAGCCTTGGATGGGTTCCATTAGCCCCGGGGAGCGGCCATTTGCAAACAGCTGAAATGCAGAGATGAGGCAATGCCTTAAGGAACGTTTGAGGTCGGGATTTATGTAAACAACAAACGGATAATATTGTGTGTGTGTGTGTGTGTGTGTGTGTGTGTGTGTGTGTGTGCGCGCGTGTGTCAACAACAAATTAATATAATAATGAACTTAATTAGGGCTACATCTAAACTGAGAGAAATGCCCCTTATATGTAGGCTGTGTTTTTTCACTAGATTTGATAAAAGTCATTTATTGGGGGTTTTACCTTCACAGACTTAAGTATTAAAACTGGTGACGAAAACTTGAAATACAGTAAAAATAGTTCATTGAAAAGCTAATGCTAAAGACCAAATGCTAACGGCTGATAGTAAACAGTGAGTTGCTATGGTAACCAGCACTCGCTCTTCTCTGGTGGAAAACCAAACTGAACCAGGACCAGTCCAGGACCAGTCCAGGACCAGGGCCGTGATGTAAAGGCCAAATTAACTGCCATAGAAAGTAAGTAACCGAAAATGTCTACTTTTGACTTTTCTCCAGAGCAGTCATTTTGACTGCTTAGCATTTATGGTCTTCCTAACTTTGTGACTGTTTCTGTTTGTTTCTTATTTGTATGAAATTATCTTTTTTTTGTGTGTGAAAGTTACCATCGTTACCATAGCAACACACTGTTTACTTGCTAGCAGTTAGCACTTGATAGCCTTTAAACAAACTGTTTTGGCCATTATTTCAAGTTATGTAGACCAGGTAAAAAATAAGATCAAAAGTCTGGGGTAAAATTGCTTTTGGGGGAACTTTGAATGGGAGCAGTCAAAATGACGGTTCTGGAGAGTTCAGTGATCTCGTAATTCTGGGTGTCCGAGAGTTAGAGGTAGAACTAATCATATTTAGAGAGAGAAAAAAATGACATAGAAACAGTCCATGTATAGAAACAGAAAAGGTCACAGTTATCAAGACAACAAAGGTACATGAGCAAGGCACTTCCGACTCATCATCTGGGTCACATCGCTGCTTTGTCAGTCGACTGCCTTCAGAGAAGCTACAGACGTGTGGAGAGGTGTCTGTGGCAGAAGTTTATGTTATCGTGGCTTAGGAGAGAGAAAAGCACTTTATACTCACTCATAGGAAGTAAGTAATATTTATTGATACAGCGCCTTTCACAGACCAAAGCCACAAAGCACTTTACAGTTGTTGTTTTTTAGGCCTGTTGTCTCTCACTCCTCACAGAGATGGGAGAAAAGTATAAAGGGTGAGATGGTTTTGTTTAGTGCTATATTCAAAGATGAGATTAGCACATTATAAATAAAGTTTCTCTCCAGTACAGACTGCTGTCAGTAGAAGATGAGGTAAGGTTCACTGACCGCTGCTGCTACAAGGAGTCAAAGTGAAGGAAAAACAGACTTACAGTGAAATACTGTATATTTTTGTTCACAGTAAAGCGCCAATAAAGTATCTGGACTTTAAAAGGTTATAACTTATAAACTGAATTACTGTCACAGATTAGAAAAAAAGATTTCAAACACAGACACATTGAAGAGACACATTGGAAAGATTGACTGAGATTTTGGCAACATTTTAAACGACCAAACCAGCCTCTGATTGGACCGTTCTACTGTGACGCCAGTTACACAGGAAATAAAATGTCCTCAGTCTGAAAAAGCGTCTGATGAAATCCCACAGATTAATGTTGTGTTAACCATGTTAATCACTTGATTAAAAAAGTAATCGTTAAAAGTAATCGTATAAAAATAAATGACCCTTGATAAATGTGTAACGGACGAGATGGTTTCCTTCCTATTTTCTAACTTGAGAAACTTAACTTGAGAAAAAAAATGATCTGTTCTGGTTTCAGATTTAATTGGTTGACTAAATGAAAGTATCACTTTGTTTCTACTTTCTGTAAAAAAAAAAAATCTCTGAATCAAATGTGGATCTGAAAATACAAAACAAACTTCCGCAGCTCATTCCGTCGAATCATCAGCGTTACATAAATAAACAGAGCTTCAGGAAACTTGTGATTTTGTGAATGAAAAACATTAAATATCTTCTGATTATCAAAATCAAATGTTTGGCCTTTTGTCACACGTTTGTGCCCTTTAGTGTGAACAAGCGGCACGGTGGCTGAGTGGATAGCACTCTCGCCTCTCAGCAAGAAGGTCCTGGGTTCGAATCCCGGTCGGACCAGGGCCTTTCTGAGTGGAGTTTGCATGTTCTCCCCGTGTCTGCGTAGGTTTCCTCCGGGTATGTCCAATAGTTCTGGCATGTGCCTCCTGTACTGGCCCCGCTCCCATCTCTGTGTGGAGTGAGAGACTAATGCCCAAAAAAAAAAAAAAAAAACAATTGTGAAACCGCTTTGAGACTCTGGTCTGTGAAAGGCGGTATATAAATAAACATTACTTACTACTACTTACAAGCCCACATACGTTTTTGAGATTTACCAACTGTTTTTCTACTGTGAGCTCCTTAAAAACTCGACCCAGCCATGTGTGTGTGAAAACGAACCCATCACACCCTCCTAACAGTTGGGTTCTATCCCTAGTCTTCACACGCATGTATAATCTGATAAATCTCTACATAAGCTTTTTCAAACAGAAAGTCTTCTCAGCCCAGAGGGTCAAATAAAGACTCACAGGGCTTTTTCTTACAAGAAGACAACGGTACAACGGGACAAAGACAACAGGTCCTGGTCCAGTTAAGTCACAAAATGTAACTAAGACATATTTAGTTTAGTACCTACTCTAAAAAGTTAGGTACCCGAGCTTTAAGGTGAGACTTTGGAGTGGTTGGGACTTACCAGGCCTGCACAGGTGGATATCGCTGCAGATGAAGACGACACATTCCGGACTATTCCCTGATAAAGACAGCTGTGATAGTTAGGGTCCTCTGTGAGCGAGGAGAGGCCGTGGGAGCCCAGAGTCTGAACCGTGAAGCCAGGGCCCACCACAGCCGAGGGCCGCAGGTCCAGGGTCATGTCCTGACCGAAGGCGGACAGACGATAGTGAAGAGAAGAGGGCGGGGCCAGGGACCTTCTGCTGCGGTGTCTGCCCATGTCATTGCTCAGGAACAGGCCCTCGGAGTCCACCTCCACAGGACTCACAAACACATAGTCTGAGGGAGAACGACGTACGGTTACAACGGAGAAGGTACAGCAGGTGCCAGAGCAGAGCTGCACTGGAGAATCTACAGACTGCTGGTTATTCCATAATCCTGGATGTATCGTATGTTTATTTTTATTTTTACAGGGACAGTGTACTATAAACATTAGCCAAAGGAGAGATGCATTGTACCAGGTTGTAGCAGCAGTGCTAATTTACACCTGGAAAGTGCGGAAAAGTGCAGAGGTAGTTTGTTTTGTGTGTATTTGTGTCCTTGCTCTGAACTCTTTCTATTGTAATATGAACATTTTGATTTTATTGAGTTTTGGGGGTGGGGGGCTCCTGAGCTTTTGGCTTCAGTTCACTCTTTTTGTGCTGTATTTAAACTGTTGAAGTTAGAGATCAGTTAGAGTTAGAGCATCAGCTGAACATCAGTATCGGCCGATGTTTGCCTTGTTAAAGATATATAGGAGGATTCTCTACTTCCAGGATCATCAAGACTATTGGTCCTTCCAGTTGTCAATTATTCTGGTGACACGTGCTCGTCAAACAAGACCAGAAAGTTTTGTTCAAACAATGGTGATGGCAGTTCTTTCCTAAAATGTGGTAAAATCCTCCTATACACCATTAACTACCATCGGCAAATAAAAATGACATTGATCGATGGTGGTCTGTGCAAAGAGACACCAGTAGAGGGCGTCCACACTTTCCTCAGCAGTAAAAACAAAGAAGATGGCGGCGGTCGTGTGGCGATATTTGACAGTATCAGAAAAAGATCAGCGTGAAGCAGTTTGTACGAGTTCAGTGAGATTTCAAGAACTACTAGAAAATGGACGTTTGAGAAGCAAGAATCTGTGACAGCGACGGCATGAAGCTGAAGAGACACTGAAACTGAAGCCGCCCAGAAATATATATATCTATATATACAGTAGGGGCGACAGTAGCTCAGTTGGTAGAGCATTGGCCTTAAGGCCAGAAGGTTGTGGGTTCAATTCCCACCTCTGCACCTTCTCCACCGACTCTCACTGATGACTGCTGTCGTTGTGTCCTTGGGCAAGACACTTAACCCCACTTTGCCCAAAGCCCCCACTGAAAGATCAAGGCTATGCTCACACTCAGAGAGCAGCCGTCCTCCTGTGGACTCACCACCTGCAGAGGGTCAGTGAGGGGCTGGTGCTATGAGACTTGGGTGGCATCTCTGACTGCCACCCCCCTGACCCAGAAATGGATTAAAGGGTAGAAAATGGATGGATGGATGGATATATATACAGTATATACAGTATATATATCTATATGTATAGATATATATACACTAGAGTATTTCAATTGAACAATGATCTACTAAATCAACTGAAGAATGTGAAATTGTTTTTTACAACATTATACAAACTTTTGTATCACCTACATACACTTAACCCTTCCTTCTCCTGGAGAGGGTCCTGGGTCAGCTGGGGAGACCCCTGAGCCCCCGCTCACCTCAAACTCACTCTGTGTCAGACATGATCATATTCAAGAAACGCTTTATTGCACCTTTTTGTTGTGCCGTGGTTCTCGCTCATGATTCAGTTTAGTGGGATAGAACGAAGCTGGCCAGAAAAGTGTTTTTGTTTTATATTTGCTCTCCACATAAATAAATACATGTGTTTATGACAGCAGTGTTACAGCGTCTTTCTGCAGCCACACTTTGCTTCAGATTGTCTTTTTTATGAATACACCATGGATACAGCAGCTGTTTGGAGCTCTGAGATCATATGGATCACAGATGGCTTTTGACAGAAGCAATAACACTAACATCATATTTCCATGTCTATTAGATAGAGCCAGCCTGAGGTTGTGTAAATGTGATGTCTTCTTTTCACCCAGTCAAATGGAATATAAGAAACTTCAATCATTTTCACAAGTAAGAAATGATACAGACTCTGACTGTTATTTATACAAACAATTCAAGGTGTATAGACAAGCAGCTGACGTCCTGTAAATATAAAAGTGAGTTTGTGTTCTGTGAAGGCTCTGCAGAAGAGTATTTTCAAGACTATTCATCGTCCTCTACAAGTAACACAGGTACAATAACTTTGCACAGCAATCCCATGGATCATTTTATGCCTATCCCTGAGTGGTGCCAGCTGGAAGATCCATCAGCCCATATCAAAGAAGCTCTCACCGTGATTTAATCCTTGGCTGCCGCTGGCTGCTGCGGTGTGGGAACAGTAAACGTGCAACGTCTGCAAAAAAACATAAAGAAACAGGTAGCAACAGGTTGTTGAACATGCAAGTTGTGGAGGTGAGAGTGATCAATGTTTTATGACAGAGACATGTCTTTTCAACACAGACACATGACACAGACACAGATACAGACAGACACAGACACAGACACATGACACAGACACATGACACAGACACAGATCAGCTCTGAGTGAGTCTGCAGTAAATGCATGTGTTCGTTTGCACCTGCCTTGATCATGGTCCAGCATAACAAAGCGGGCAGGAGTCTGGCACATCCAAGAAGCGGAATGGGTAAAGTCCAAGTAATAAAAAAGAGACAATCCATGGTGCGGGCACGCGTTCCTCCGTTACCTTCTCACGCGTTCCTCCGTTACCTCCTCACGCGTTCCTCCGTTACCTCCTCACGCGTTCCTCCGTTACCTCCTCAGAGCGCGCACCAGCGGCAGTGACCTGTGGAACCGGGACACGCAACTTCTGAGCATTGTTGACGCTGCTTCCACCGAAGTCTCCCGGAGAAGTGTGCAGCAGCTCACCGGCGAAAAAAGCAGATCCACGCGTGGGTTCGTGCGTGTGCAAACGTGTGCGTGATGTGCGCGAGGCTGCGGACGCCGGTATAAGTGCTGAGTGAGCATTCAGCCTCCGCGTCCTGCAAGAAGAGGCGCAAAGTCACCGGAGCCAGCAGCCAATCAGCGCTCAGCATCACTTCCCACGAGGAGAGAGAACCACAGAACACTCTTGACTGTAGACAAGAGCAAATCCTCTGCTTTGGTTTGTGCAGACCTCCTGCTGGGACTGAGACTGAGACTAGGACTGGGACTGGGACTGGGACTGGACCTAACACACTACAGCGCGACACAATAGTTCTGACACACTTTCACTAGTTTGACTTTTCTTCAGATCCAGGAGAAGAAGAGACGTGTGCTTTGTGTGAACGGAATGAACGGGAAAGTGAAGTGCATTTTCTGTTATATTGTCCTCCTCTTTAAGATGAATTTAGAAACGACTTATTTCTTGAATCCTTCACTCCGGATCCTGGTCTGTTCTGGTGCAGTGACGACATCAAGATGAAATGGTTAAATTAAAGTCAAGTGTTTAAACTGTCTTCCTTTTGTGTGTTTTGAAATGTGTGTGACCTGTCCTGCTCCACCCAGAGGCTACTCCACCTCTGCTGCTGTGACCTGTCCTGCTCCACCCAGAGGCTACTCCACCTCTGCTGCTGTGACCTGTCCTGCTCCACCCAGAGGCTACTCCACCTCTGCTGATGTGACCCGTCCTGCTCCACCCAGAGACTACTCCACCTCTGCTGCTGTGACCCGTCCTGCTCCACCCAGAGGCTACTCCACCTCTGCTGCTGTGACCCGTCCTGCTCCACCCAGAGGCTACTCCACCTCTGCTGCTGTGACCTGTCCTGCTCCACCCAGAGGCTACTCCACCTCTGCTGCTGTGACCCGTCCTGCTCCACCCAGAGACTACTCCACCTCTGCTGATGTGACCCGTCCTGCTCCACCCAGAGGCTACTCCACCCAGAGGCTACTCCACCTCTGCCGCTGTGACCTGTCCTGCTCCACCCAGAGCCTACTCCACCTCTGCTGCTGTGACCCGTCCTGCTCCATCCAGAGGCTACTCCACCTCTGCTGCTGTGACCCGTCCTCCACCCAGAGGCTACTCCACCTCTGCTGCTGTGACCTGTCCTGCTCCACCCAGAGCCTACTCCACCTCTGCTGCTGTGACCTGTCCTGCTCCACCCAGAGGCTACTCCACCCAGAGGCTACTCCACCTCTGCCGCTGTGACCTGTCCTGCTCCACCCAGAGCCTACTCCACCTCTGCTGCTGTGACCCGTCCTGCTCCATCCAGAGGCTACTCCACCTCTGCTGCTGTGACCCGTCCTCCACCCAGAGGCTACTCCACCTCTGCTGCTGTGACCTGTCCTGCTCCATCCAGAGGCTACTCCACCTCTGCTGCTGTGACCCGTCCTCCACCCAGAGGCTTCTCCACCTCTGCTGCTGTGACCTGTCCTGCTCCACCCAGAGGCTACTCCACCTCTGCTGCTGTGACCCGTCCTGCTCCACCCAGAGGCTACTCCACCTCTGCTGCTGTGACCCGTCCTGCTCCACCCAGAGGCTACTCCACCTCTGCTGCTGTGACCCGTCCTGCTCCACCCAGAGGCTACTCCACCTCTGCTGCTGTGACCCGTCCTGCTCCACCCAGAGGCTACTCCACCTCTGCTGCTGTGACCTGTCCTGCTCCACCCAGAGGCTACTCCACCTCTGCTGCTGTGACCCGTCCTGCTCCACCCAGAGGCTACTCCACCTCTGCTGCTGTGACCTGTCCTGCTCCACCCAGAGCCTACTCCACCTCTGCTGCTGTGACCTGTCCTGCTCCACCCAGAGCCTACTCCACCTCTGCTGCTGTGACCCGTCCTGCTCCACCCAGAGGCTACTCCACCTCTGCTGCTGTGACCTGTCCTGCTCCACCTCTGCTGCTGTGACCTGCTGTATCATAACCAAGTCAGATCGATGACTCTTGCGTATTGCAGCATGTTTTCACTCACTCCTGACCAAATGAAAAGTCCCATCCATCAGTCGTACAGTGGCTCCTCATTCACTGCTGTGGCATGTGTGTGTTCACTAATTGCTGAAAACAGGTGGTCCCTCGACTGCCCCCGTCCCACTCTGGCAAACACCTGGATCTATGCCGGAAATGCACTTGACAGACACGGTGCTGAGTGTGCAACCATCTTACTACAGAGATTTCCCACTCCACGGAGAATAATCAGGCTCCGTATCCAGCTCCCTGCCACCTCATCTGACAGAGCCCAGCCCAAACCATCCAATCACCTGAAACCCCCAAAGAATCCACCAGGGGAGCACCACACCTGGAGATTTAGGATCTAAGAACAGCCGGGGATAAGGAACATAAGGCAGGAATTAAGTAACCTTATTTAAAGCTGGAAAACCACAACTTTTTAGTTTCATGAATAATACATGTTGTTTCCTGACACTGTTGTGAAAGAGAACATTTATGAACACATCAGACCACAACAATCTTTTATATTCTTGTAAGAAAAAGCTCAGTGAAGTTACTATGTAGAACTTTGAGGAAGAGCTGATTTTTCTCATTTTTTTCTTACTTTTCGGGTTTGAAGAAGCTGATCTAGAGATGTGACCAAAAGTACATGTGTGTGATAGTGAGCGAGGAACGAGTGACATAGATTTGGTTTGAAACTTATGTACCCCAGCTTTAAAGTATAGAGATATAGATAGATGGATAGGATCACTCCTTTGTGGAACTATAAAGATGTTATTATTTCAAAAAGGTTGTTTGTTTTTTTTTAAAGTTATGATCCGTGTTTAAGAGTGTGTGCAGAACCACTGTAATAGAATAAAGAACCTAATTCAATTCATTAAACGTATTCTTGTAGAGCCCTAAATCACAACAGTATATGTTTGAGAACTGTTGAATTCACCAACACAGATCAGAGAATTCCAAAAATCATTTCAAACACAAGAAATGCAATGATGAAATTAAAAATAAAAACACATAGAGCCATTGAGGCAGAGACCGATGCCCAAATGTTATTTATCTGAATTATCAGTAGACTAATCTGAAGAGCCTAATGTTGGGTCACACTTTGTCTCCTGGAGGGAAGTGAACCCATGCAGCGTCGCTCGTCAATCTCCATGAATGCCTCAGTGACGTGGACCTGCTCAAACACTTTACAATGATGTATCATGTTTGTGTGGTTTCTATGGAAACGTATATTGTTTTGGAAAAATATTCTTGTTTTGCTGTTCTTTTGGATTTTAACCTTGAAATTGAACCACTGAAAAATGCAAAAACAAACTGTCAAAAAGTATAAGTTTTATATATAGTTATTTGAAGTATTTTTGTAGGGTTTTGATTGCACACAATACTTGCAATATTACGTGCAACAGCGCCTCCTACGTGGGGATGTGGGGGACAGGGGAGGGAGGTTTGATGCTGCTGTAATTTTGTAATTGTTCGTTAACTTTCGCTTGTTGTTGAGAAAGATTAAAGGGGCCCTGGGACACCTGTCTGATGGGGGCCGCTACTTGGTGCCAGGGGTCCAGTTACTGATTAGTTACTGAGGCTGGATCCGTGCAAAAGGTTTTCACGCGTTGGCCTACGATTAAGATTGAACTTAACTCACCGACTGCCCGCCGTTTTTGAGGATTTCACTGACTTGCAAGACCCACAGAATATTGTGTGCTGTGACTATGTAAAATATGAAACCAGATTCTGAAAGATTGGACCGTCTGCTTTCATCAGCAAAAAAATGTTGGTATCTAGCTAGTTTTGTTCTGCTGTAGTCTTCAGTTGAATAGAGGGAGGTTTGACAGAAATCACCAGTCTCAGCCAAATACATCAATGGCAGTCAATGAGTTAATGTATGTGTTTAAGGTCAATCAGCTTCACCCAGATGTCCTCTCTTTAATCACTAAATTCTTGCATGTTTGTGAATTTTTTTATGGAGTCTACAAGTTTTTACATCCTTCCCACTCCACACATGGTGCAACCAGGGCATATATTACTGATTGATTGTATATTCACGTTTATATATTTGCATAAGTAAGTATATACTTTAAGTACAGAAGGCAATAACATGTGTATAAAAAGTCATGTAAACTAAGGAATGTAAATATTGTAAATACTTATGATGGTAATATTTCTGATAGAATGAATACAATCAATCAACATCCTGTCCATGACCCAATATTTATTACTGGTCCATATTCCATTTCATGTGTTCACTGGTTCAGATCTCTCTTACCCTTTGTTTACTTCTGGATGGTTTGATAGTTGATCATTTCTGGGTCAGTCAATCTGAGTTGGTTCTAGTCTATAGTTATTTATTTATTGGTTCTAGTGGTGTTCTGTTGCTATTTTCCATCCCATAGTTCTCAGTTCAAGGAAAGCTCTGGCACCATTAAAGCTATCTCAGGTCAGCTCTTACCAGATGCAAACTTGTGACTGACACTCCCAAGACCAGCAGAGACCAGGAGCAGAGCTGTGGGCCCAGGCTCACATCCCCAAAGCGTCAACGTAAAGAAACACAGATACCACATTGTTCCCATACTTATCCCATATTTAGAAAGACGTTTTGCACAAGGTCGACTTTGACACTGCTTGATTGCTTCGGCCGCACAGAAGGCCACAAGAGCGCAACATGACAACAAGATTAGAAAGTGGAAAGAGTTTGTGGTGTTGAAAGGCACAGGGGTCGTTCTCTCTTCGCAGTTTTGTATCCAGTGTTTTTCCAGCTGTTTGACAATGCCTTTCCAAGTCCTTTCCAATGCCTTTCCAATGCCTTTCCAATGCCTTTCCAATGCCTTTCCAAGTCCTTTCCAATGCCTTTCCAATGCCTTTCCAAGTCCTTTCCAATGCCTTTCCAATGCCTTTCCAATGCCTTTCCAATGCCTTTCCAAGTCCTTTCCAATGCCTTTCCAATGCCTTTCCAAGTCCTTTCCAATGCCTTTCCAATGCCTTTCCAATGCCTTTCCAAGTCCTTTCCAATGCCTTTCCAATGCCTTTCCAAGTCCTTTCCAAGTCCTTTCCAATGCCTTTCCAATGCCTTTCCAAGTCCTTTCCAATGCCTTTCCAATGCGTCTCCAATGCCTTTCCAATGCCTGTCCAATGCCTGTCCAATGCCTTTCCAATGCCTGTCCAATGCCTTTCCA